TTCATTTTATTAGATACCATAAAGATTAAACGCAAGCCTAGAGGCTTTAGACTAATAAATATTTTGGGAATTTTTAAATGATAAAAAATAACACGTATAAAATTAAATAAAAGTATACAACGCTGTTTATATTTAAGAAGAAAAATTAATATTACAAATTTTTGTGAGTTTAATAGTGACTTAAACATAAGTTTCTTAAATTACATATTCCTTGAATTTTCAGAAAAGTTTCATTTGTATCCTTTTTGTAAAATAATTATTTTTACAGCAAAAGGATATTTTGTCACAATATATAAAATAACTAAAATAACTAAACACAATATATAAAATATGTAAAAAACTATGAATAGCTAACTACTTAGATGTTATAGAAAATATGAATATTTCTGAAAATTAGGGTTATTTTAATTAAATATTTTCTAATTTAAAAAAGAAATATTTCAACAGAAGTGTACAAATAGTGTGCTATTAATAATAAATTATACCATTTATAACTTATGGGTATATCATCCGTTTTATAATCAATATCCGATAAATGGAATATATTAGACAATTTGAAAAAAAATGTTTAAGATTATGCCTACAAATGTTTAAATTTAACAATCAAATTATTACATACATTATAGTAATGAAAAGATTTATAAGACAACAAATATATACAAAATTAGTAATTGTATTATTAAATTAATTAAGAAACACATAATAAACGTTATTAAATTATGCAATGTTAAAAACTTAATTTGTTATCTCGTAGCAACATATCAAATTGAAGTTTCGTGTAAGTCAGACATAACACATGTAAGTAATTTCTTACCTTTTGAATCTTTATGCTTAAAATTTTTACTATTTTAATTGCCATTAAATTTCATATTCATTAACACTAGATATACCACCATTTTCAGTATACCTATTTCTACCACACCAGTCAAAATGACTAGTGTGTAAAAAAAAATGCTTTTTGAGGCTGCCAGTCTTTATTTATTCTTAAAAAATAACAAAAAATGTTTAACAATAATAATTTTAATAGATAAATGGATTTATAGACATTTTTAAATAACAAAACGCTTAATTATTTACAGAAATCAAATATTATATGAAGTAGAAATTTTGAATTAAAATGGCCCGACCAGTCAAAATGACTGATCTGGAATATCTACTGTTAAACACATTATTGTTCGCATTCCAATATAAAAATCTTAATTAACCGAAGGGTCAGCTACCGAATCATATCATTCTGATTATTTCTAGAAATTGATGTACATGGTCAATTAATAACACAAATTAATCAAATTTATGTACTAATTATATTATATCTATTTTACATATAATTTCATTAGAAACGAATAACTGAACGCTCACATTTTATAATATAATGTATTATAGTAGATAACCGTATGGTCAATTATTACCTTAATCTGCATCAATTATTGATATTATTTAGTTTTCATTATCCTAAATCACTACCTAATATTAATAAAATTAACAAAGTGATAAAGTTTACTTAGATATGCAAAAATTTTATAGATTATTATATTAGTGAACTGAAAATGCTTCCTATCAAGGGTGCTTGTAGAAATTAATCTGAAGAAGCGATGAAGGCAGCGATTGAAGATGTTAAGTTATAAAAAATGTCTATAAGAACAGCTTCACGAAAATTTGGCGTGCCATTACTCTCAAATATAAGGTAGAAGATAAATCATCTATAGAAAGAAACATGGAACCTCTTTCAATTTTAAGCGAGATGGGAAGTTGTTTTAAGAATATGTTCTAAACAAGATGAAGAAGAAAAAAGAGAGTGAACGATTGAAAAAAGAGCAAGCTGCGAAAAGGCAAAGAGATAAGGAAGAAAAGGAAAGAGCTAAAGAATTAAAAGCACAATAACCGAAACGAAAAAAAGCGAAGAAAGTTTTACAGTATTCATCTGAGAGATTCATTAGATCATTAACTGTAACATACCCGATTGTGTGGATAGTGAAGATAACAAAAAACCTACCGAAGAAAATACTTTGGGAAGAAGAGAAATGTTAGACTTAGAATTAAAAAAGATGTTAATGAACATGTAATATTTTTATATGAAGGTGAATATTTTCCTGGAAAAATCCTTTCCGTTAATGACACTAAAGCGACTATATCTTCTATGCAAAAGCATGGGTGATGGTGGAAATGGCCAGAAACTCCTGAAGTATTACAATACAAAATAGAAAATATACTTTTTCATATTAATGAGCCTACCAAACAAGCAAAACGCGAAATATTTACTCTATACCTGAATTAGATTTAATATGAAATTATAGTTAACTTTATTTTTTATTAATTTCCAGAAATTAACTTCTATTTTGTATTTGCCCTTTTTATTGTTATTTCTTCTAATTGATATAAATAAACGATATTAAAATGATTGCTTCTATTGATTTTGGCTGTAGTATAAGTGGTCAACTACTATGATTGACTTTCCATTAATTTTAATTTACTACTTTTGCGTAACACAACTTTTTTTCGAAAAATATCCTTTGTTATATAACGTCCGAAGTTCAAAGAATGTCTTCACACATCAAGACCTATTATTCAATAAAAATGCAAAAAGTTACCACTATTTAAGATAAAAATTTCTCTTAACCGATCGACCGGTTAACGTGCCTTCACCTTAATTTTATATTTTATGTCAATTTTTAAAGAAATTTGATTAGTAATATTGGCCGATTATATTATAGAAATGTATTCCTTATTAGTAATCATGAATACAATGTTAAAATATTAAGTAAATTTATTTGTGTCATGCATACGTTAGATATGTACGCCAATGGATTTCTTGTAGTTAGTTTTTAAGTAACTATTTTGAGAATAGGATAAATACGTTTCTTTAGAGAAAATACATGGAAGAGAAAATACATAGATCTAGAAAAGGTAAGAAAACGACCTTCTTATAAGTGTAAATAGATATTCTAGGATAAGCGAAAATGTTTTTCTATTTAAGTAAAAGTATAAGAAATAATATCTTCTGTTGCTATGAAGAATGTAAAAATATGTATCTGAAGAAGTAAGAGAGTATGTGAGTTTTGTGTGTATGTGTGTATGCTTTAGGACATGCATGATTTCAAAAAAGTCGATATAAATCAATGTAGAGAAATAAAAGTATGTAGTAACGAATGGTTAAACTAAGGATATTAGAATACAGTATGTAGATAAATATGTTAGAATGAACGATTGAATTAAGGATGTTATAATAAAGTGTAAATAAATATGTTGGAATGTCAACTTCTGCCTCTTCTTATAAGTTACGTGGCTATTTTCAAATAATAAAGTATTTGAAATAATAGGCAGTGTACATATAAAATAGCAGATAAAGAGAAAAAATAAAATAAAATAAAATGAAAGAAAAGAAAAAAAAAGAAAATGAACAACAAGAAAATAAAAACTTTAATTTAATAAATAAAGGAATAAATTTATTGTTAGAAAAACATCTATAATAAATTTTACTTTTTCTACTTTTCATTATATCCATAAATTTAAATGTAAAAATAATTGTTACAATTATTTTCAAGAAGGCTACAATTGTAAGAATTCAAATATGCACAGTTGTACTTTAAAAATTTACAATGACTTTCAAATATCCTATTTTATATAGAAGTTATTATATACAGTTAGTGATGCGTTATCGCTTTAAATCATTTCGAGCAATATTCGAGTTTAGTAATATTCACAATTCTTGAATTTGCAATGTTCGGAAAGTTCTGAATGTTTTTTTTAATTCTGTTAATTATATCTGAATTATTACAATAAATATATTTGTTATTGTATTTTTTACTACTGTTTTACTCATGTTAAAGTAATAATGTTATTATGTATTACACAATTATAATTAGATATTAATATGATCATAAGTTTAAAATTATTATAAGAAATTTTTATTAAGACTATCAAGACTCAAAATTTTCAAGATTTCCAAACTACATAACTTTTAAAACTTTCAAGAAATTTAAATCATTCAAGACTTTTAAGAGTTTCAAGAATTTTTAACTTTGGATAAATATCAAATTGAATCGAGATCCTGTGAAGTTTAAATTGTTTGAAAAGTTTGCAAAATAGATGTCAACACTATCTACAATATTTTGTATATAAGATAATATTATTATTCCATATAAAAAATAATTTAGATTTATAAAAATATTTAAAATTCATATTCATATAAAAATTATTTATTACATTATTTTAATAAATAATTTGGTAATGATAATATAAATAAGATCTAACAAATTCAAAAATATACAAACAAATATATATATTAAAATTTTTCACGATGTTATGGACGGTTAAACTAGTTAATGTAATATATTTTCTCCATTGAGAATTAATGAGAGAGTTATTGTCTATTATTTCAAACTGATAGTTTAAAAATATTTAAAACATTACCTGAATAACCTCTTTTATATTAAAATTAACGAAATAGTTGAACTGATTATCCAAGAAATAATGTGTACCCCTGTCTTTTTCTGTAACAGACCACCAGGGCCTACCACATTTTCAAATATATGTTCTCCCACATGAGAATCTACTGCACTTAAAGGATCATCCAAGTTGAACTGATTATATTGAACTTCTACACTTTTTTGTTGAAAAACATAAAGAGTTAACCTATATTATGTTTTCGAATGAGTTGAAGATCGTACTTTACTGTTAATATTTGTTTTGTTAGAAAGATATATATATATATATGGATATAGGTGTATGTAAAGGCAAAGGTATATGTCGATTGTTTGTGTGTCGGTTAGGATAGAAGTATGGAGCGGAAGCTGCAGATAACGTGGTTTGCTTTATTTCCTTGAAAAATAACTGCTAAGGAAACAGGGATGAGCAATAACAGTGTGTAAGTTGTGAGATCGTAATGAACGATTGAAGGTTAAGGATAAACGAGAGAGTATAAATAAATGAGAAAATAGATAAGTAAATGAATAAATGAATGAATATATAAATGACTATGAAACAATTAAATGTAAACATACATACGTGTTGCCGATCGGCAATACTCCGTTGGTAGAGTAATCGCGATTAGTGGATCTGCTTCCTGTCGCCGCCACGAGATGGCACTGAAGTGACTATGTTGTGGTGAAACAGAACGCTGAAAAGGGCTATCTGGAGAGTTTATATTCACTTTTGGATTTTACCAACGAGAAAATATAAAATTTATTATTATTATTATTGGCAAGTACACTCTTGGGCACCATATATAGGACTGATATCTTTCGACCCTTACATTCACGGAGGCTAGATACAGGAGGGCGATCGACACAGAAAAATATCTAGTAAGCGCGACTGGAAAAAAAAGGAAAGATCATTTTCGGAAATACGCCGCTAGGTTTCGTGATGTTCGCTGATGTCAGGTTTATAACGTCATATTTTTCATTGACAATTGTTGACAATACTGCATCATTAGCAATTGTATTAATGTTTTTTTAATTTATAAAAAGTAATATTTATTTAAAAATGGTAAATAAATGTATTGTTCATGGGTGTACAAGTGGACGAGTCAAGAATCGTAATAAGAATGCTAATTTAAATCAGAGAAATACGTCTTCATTCACTGTACCACAGGTAATATAACCTTAATTGATAGTTATAAATTACTAATATAAAAAAATGCAATGATGCAAATGGGTTAATCAAACTGGAAGTAAAAAATTTTATTTTTTTTTTTTTGGTAGAATTCTATTTTTAAAAAATTCTCCTACATTTCTTCTATCTTTCTACGTTTATCTATCTTCAATCTGTTGCAATTCACGTAATAATTTTCTTCTTTCAAAAGCATCCTGATCTGGTAAAATTATGGAGTAGTGGATTAAACCAGCAATTAATACCAAAAAAACAATACGTTTATGAATTACATTTTAACGAAGAGGATATGATTAAGAGTGATAAAATACAAACGGCTACTGCGATTGAAGAAATATTTAGGGAAAGGTATTCACTTAAGCCCAAATCTATTCCAACGTTAAATCCTACCAAGTTGTGTAAAATCAGGAATAATACTAATAGTAGTAGTAATACAGTTGAAACTCCAAATGTTGTATGTGATATACTATCAACAAATGGAAGTGTTATAATGTTGATACCAGTGGAAGTGTAGTAAAGAAAAATGAGAAAATGATAATTATTAATAATTCTGTTAAAAATTGTGACCGTCCAAAAAGTCTAGTTGCTTAACTAACTTCTGAAGAAATTAATAATTATGAGAATGAAGAACAGGTAAAAAAAATTCTGTAAAATTTCATTGTAACGTCTTATCGTTATAATTTACCGATTGAAACCCACAATAATATTGTAATTATGTTATTTATTCACAGTCACACGAATTGCCTGGTTCAAAGATTGATGTTAAGAAGTTATCTGCGTCAATAATTATTAATGTGCTAAAATTCAAAGCTTTGCCAGAAAATTGGAGCTGGACAACTGATTTGGTTAATCCTCACAGTCTAGTATTATGCTACTTGGATAAAGTAACTATGAATTTGAAATTTCGTGTTAAAATTAATGACAACTCCAATATCTCGGTAAGGAATTTTAATTTTAATTATTATTTCTAATAATATAATTATTATATTTCTTCTTGATTAGTTGTTAAACATTAAAACGCAAAAGTTGGTTGAATTCAACTCTGATTTTTCTGACATCAAAGTTTTGGACATTTCTAAAAGATTTAGAGGACTCTGAGTTATGTGATGGGACTGGATTTGATAAAAAAAAAAAGGTAATGACTGTATGTCAATGCAAGAAGTAATAATTTTTATGAAAAATTATCAACTTAGCATTATTTATAACAACAAATTTTTTTGGATATATCGCGCGCTACGGTTATAAATTTCTAGTTAAAACAATTCTATATCTTGTAAAACATTTTATATCTCTGAGCTTCTATTACTAATCATATTTATTTTATTGCTTTCAAATCAAGATTAGATAATTTTATTTCTTTACCTATCATAGGTGTTCATTATCGTGCACTGGTATGTCACAGCCTGAGAAAAAGTACAAGAAACAAATGAATGGTTTCCGATGTGTTGCTTGCCAAAAATTGCGACACAAATTACTGAATCAATCTTATAAAATCAAGTCTGATATCAAAGATCGCTATGATAGTTTGAAATATCAGGATAGTCTCAAAAACAAGCAAATTAAGCGTCTTAAACAAAAAGTATATTTTTATTTCTTGTTTATCACTTTTATTTTTGTTTCGAGATCATTTATTACAAGATAAATCTCAATAATTGTAAAACTTTACCAATTTGAGTTACACGTCCATGATTATACTTCTATGCAATTGTGTGTCAGAGATTTGCAAACTCCAAAATTTATGTGGTACTGGAGAATGATTAGCAGTTAACTGTCTGAGATGATTTATATAAAATTATTCTTCTTTTTTTGCAGGTTAAATCACTCTTACAAATAATTGAAGCGCAAAAAGTGAACTCTATGGCAATTAGAGATACAGCTTTAAGAGCTGAAATTTCTATCTTCCCTCCGGTACAACAATTAGCAATCCATGCTTGTTTTAACGCTGTAAGGGCTAAAAATGCAAAACAAAGAAGATATACGGTAGAGTGGGTTTATGAATGTTTATTATTTCGCATAAAAAGTCCATTTGTGTACGATCGACTCAGAGATCGTGAAATCCTCTCTCTTCCTTGCAAAGACAAACTTCATAGATACATCCAGAAGTTGAATAGCGCTTTTGGATTCCCTACTGCTATATTCGACACTCTTCGTATAAAAAGTTCGCGAATGGAAGTGTACGAAAAACGCGGCACCGATTTATCATTGAAGTTGTATTTCTATTAATTGATGAAGTGGCTTTAAGTAAAGCGATCAAGTTAAATCGTAAAACCATGCAGCTGGAGGGTTTTGTAAATTTAGGAGAACATATGCTACAATATCTTATAAATAGCCGAGCTGATCACGCTTAGTTTTTATGTTCCAACCTTTTTAAGGTGATTGGATGCAGATTGTTGGCAGTTTTCTCAGCAGAAATTCCGTTACCAGTTCTATTCTTCACAAATTACTTCTGGAATGTATCATATTGTTGGAGAATGCTGGATTTTACGTGGACGTTGTAACATGTGATGGTGCACAGTTGAATAGAGGAGTGTGGAAACTTTTTGGGATTACAGAAGATCAATGTAGCTGCGAACATCCATGTAACATGAAAGATCGGAGACTTTGATTCGTTTCTGACTTTCCACATTTAATAAAATGTTTCAAAAACTAGATTATGGAAAAATCAATCTTTTGGGTATGAAATTATTTACAACAATATTGATGATTGATTCATAATATAAATATACATCTATTCATGAATATATAATTATTATTTTCACTATTAATTTTTTATTGTTTTGTTATTTTCTTGAAGACGCCTGATGGATTGGTGAAGAAAAGTCACTAGGAAGCTCTTTTATCACATGAAACGTATTTTAAAGCCAACTTAAAAATCACTTATAAACTATCTCTTCAGCATTTAAATCCTGAGGGTTATCAGAAAATGAACATTCCATTAGCTTGTCAGGTAATTATGAGGATACAAGTACAGTACTCCCTCCTTAAGGAGGGGGGGTAAGGTTAATTCGTACAAAAAAAGGCATGTTTTGGTGAATTTTTTGTGACGACACAGTTAAAATCTCTTTAATAAAACCAATGGTACATTAAAGTATGACATTCGAAGAATATTGTATAAAATTTTCACGAAGAAATATTTAAAAATACGGCAATGGCAGCAATTATTCGGACGTGTCTCAGGAAAAAAATAGAATTGTGGGGTCCCTCATAACTTGGTGCTGGATCATCTGAAATCAAAAAATCAAAGTTCATTCGTTAGATAATAGTTTTCCCTAGGTAACGCTGGGAGGGTTTTTCGAAATTTCAAATTTTCCCTTCAAAATGTTCACTTTTGTGGACTTTTTGATTTCAGATGATCCAGCACCAAGTTATGAAGGACCCCGCAATTTTAATTTTTTCCTGAGACACGTCCGAATAATTGCTGCCATTGCCGTATTTTTTAAAATTTCTTTGTGAAAATTTTATACAATATTCTTCGAATGTCATACCTTAATGTACCATTGGTTTTAATAAAGAGATTTTAACTGTGTCGTCACAAACAATTCACAAAAACATGCCTTTTTTGTACGAATTAACCTTAACCCTCCCCCCTAAGGTGTAATGGGTTGTCTTTGTTGTCTTTTGTTAGTGATTTACAGAAAAACTAAGGCAAAACTAAAATATTTTAGAAAGGAAGCACTTAATAACATAATAGTATTGAATTTATTATTAAAAACTAAAACTATAATAATGATTTCATCAAGTGTTATTGATAATAATAAAAGTCTTCTATTTTAAGCTATTCTCCAATAATATTCAAGTTGCAATGAAGATTTATAAGAATGCAACTGATGAACTTAAAGATTGTGATTCAACAATTGCGTTCATTGGAAGGATCAATAATTTGATTCAAGCAATGAGTTCACGTACTCCTCCAGATGCTTTGCGTTTGAATCAGGAATGTCCTCAAAAAACGGTAACATTTAATGTATTCTTTTAGTCTTGTAATAATTTTTTGCAGTTTTTTCGTAATATTAAAGCGGAAATGTTACTTCTGAATGAAGAAAATCATTACCGTAATTAAAAACTCAGTATTTCTGCTGGTAAATGTCGGAATAAATACTGAAAACATACATAAAATTTATGTAAATACAATAAAAAATGAGTAAAATTAAAAAAAAAGTAATCAAACTGAGATATAAATGGTCCTTATACCCTGTTTTCTACTAAATTGCAATACCTCTATCTCAACTGAATAACTTAAATAATTTCTTTTTCTTACTGTTTATTTCTGAAGCATTTAGAAATAAGAAAATAATAATCTTGATTTTCACTAGGTAATAAATGACTTTCTGGAATATTTAAAAATGTGGGAATCTAAAGCTAAAGACAAAAAAATACTTTAAAAAAAAAATGCGGAAGACCAAGAAGGAGAAATCTACAAATGGAAGAGAAGAGGTGGAAAAATTCTTTTTCGCAATCACTCCCAGTACTTTTAACGGATTGAAAATTACCTTACAAGCAACTCTTGAACTGGGAGAATTTTTACACAAAGAATGCAACTACGAATATTTAATGACGTCTCACCTTAATCAAGATCAACTGGAAGTATGTATTATCGTTCTTATCTTGTATAATTTATCGTTCTTTTACTATTTTAACATTGTTACGTTTATCGTTTTCAGAAATTTTTTGGTATTATGAAAAGTGTTTGTCGCTGTAATGATCATCCAGACACCATTCTATTTGTACAGGTTTTCCGATTACTATTTTCGAATCACGAAAACTCATCCAGTGAAAATATTAATGAGTTCTCGTCTCAAAATATTTCTGTGGCTTAAAAACCTTTTGGGAGTTTAATGGGTGAAGTTAATGAAGAAGAAACTGAAAATAGCATGTGTTCATTTGTTAGTAAGCCGTTTGAGAGTATCTTGGATGAAGACAGTGACGATGATATTGACCAGGAAGAACATCTGTACCGAGATAACTATTACCCATTTGAGAATTCTTGGGAGGTGGAAGATTGCAATTGCAATATCGTACAGAATAACTTGAGGGTGATAAAAATGCTAGTTTTCGTGATGATCCGCATTTTCACTATGATTATAATGTTGTGTCTACTAGTGATGATGTGGTGGCTTATATCGCTGGATACGTTGCGCGAAAAGTTCAGCGACTCACAAATTGTTGTGACTGTATCGACACATTACGTTCGGCAAAACCTTCCAAACGTGACAAAGTTATTGAGTTAATGAGCAATAATGGTTTAATTTATTCTAGAGACAATTTATTTAATTTAATTAAACAGCTTGAAAAAATTGTATTGACTGTAGTGGGTACTAAGACAATTAAAATAAATACAATGAACCAAATTTTGGAAAAAATTTCAAAGGCAAAATTTTTACCAATGTTAGGCTGTGATAAACATGTCAAAGAACTTATAGCTAAAATTTTAAATAATTTTATCGTCATGGGTGGAAATTTCTTAGTAAATTTAAATAATCGTACTTTAAACGATCGGAAGTTGACGACAAAAAAACTTCGTAAACACTTTAAGCTGTCATAAATTATTAATGAACTTATTATTTTTATTAAGTTTATTGTTTTTTAACTCTACTTATGCTATAGAAATTTTTAGACTTGTAAAAAGTGTAATTTACAATTACAATTTACTTTTAATTGGGCTTTTTTAATTTAGTTTTCCATCCTTTACTCAACTGCGACTGGGTAAAATGAAATTGAATAGATTTATACAACAAGTTGACGATAATATCTTGAAAGTAATTGTAAAACAAAAAATTTTTTCTTATTGCTATTTTCACGTTAATTATCAGATTTGGTTTATTTATTTTGACTAACGCGCGAGTACAATTGTTACATTCCCGCGACAATAAAAAAGGTTTTAAAAACCTGATATTAGCTACACTAACGCGCTCTAGTGGCAAAAGATCTGTCCCTACATTTTCGAACATTTGTAATACATTGCGATCACCTTCCTGTTATCTGTCTCCGTGGGTAACACAAAACTTAACTTTACATGGTAGAATTACGGTGACGTTTTCGACGGAAGAAATAGTGATTGAGATTTATAGTGTCGCTAATACCTGATAGATGGTATTATTATAATTTTACTTGTAGAGGGTTTCTCTATAGTAAAGATAATATTAGACTGAATTTTATTTTATGATTTTTCTTTAAAGGATGCGACTTGCTTTTCTTTCTTGTACACTTCTCAACGGCTACGTACAGACTGTTCTAGTCTAGTGACCACTACTTGTTAGCGTGGTTCCCTAGCCTTCTAGTAACTTTAGAGGGCGCGACCTTCGGTCGTACCGCTACATACTTTAAATTTTATCAAATAGGAATTATATTCTTATTTACAGTTATTAATAAAAAATAAAATATACGATCATTTTGGATATTACAAAAACATAAAAACTTTGATCAACATTTTTATTGTCATAATTTTATCTTCCGTATGATTAGTATAAAAATTGGATACTTAATTCTTGTATAAGAAATAAAATCTACCAATAGTAAACCAGTTCATCTTATTTTTATTGGAAAATAATCATAGTTATATTAATTCTGTCCAATTTTACCTTATCTTATATTTTACAATTTGTAAGATATCTTTTATAAGTAAAATTACATAGTGTGTTTAAAAACAATTGGAAAAGCTTAGGAAAGATTATATTTTATGAGTTTTAATTTTATAAAAAAGATACTTTGTGGAATAAAAATGTCGAAATATAGTGAAATATTAACTGAAATAAAAACAGCAAACTTGAATTTAAACATTTTATTAGACGAAGTGTCAAAGATAAGAGGTAATTCTTTATAAAAATCTGTAACATTAAAGTGGATATATTTAATTATGTATGAATATATTTTAATTATTTAAAAAATATTATATTTCAGTTAAGTGTGCGCAAATGCAGTTAGACATCTTATCTCTGTATAAACCGCAGTGTTTACAAATACTTGAAATGTTAAAAACAATAGAAAATAATCAAAATGCTTTCATTGAAATTCCTTCTGTTGAAGAATTACATTTGTTATTCAATAATATATCATAAATTATTGAAAGTAACTGTTTAATTCAAATATTTGAAATACAAATAGATATTCTTTATATAAGTTAGTTTATTCATATTTAAACTATTCTTTATGTTTAGATCAATTATAAATACAAGAAATAATATATTTTTGTTCAAATAAATTCTATTCAGACTACTGAATTTATAAGTAAAATATAATTATCACATCAATATAAATGAATAATTAAATATCATAAAAAATGCAAATAATTCATATTATAATTCATACTTTTAATTTATTTTAACAAATTTCTCATTATAGACATTGATGTATTTTTATGTTCTTTATTAATGAAAGGCTGATAATAAATTTAAATAACAAGAGAATTTGTATCCTATTGCAGATTGAATATTGTTATTTTTTTTTTAGTCACAAAAGTAAAAATATGTTATACATACATATCTATTTATGTTTCTTATTTAATTCTATCCTCATCTGTGGAATATATTTTGATATTAGCAACTACAAGTATATAATTTCAAGATTACAAAAAGAAAAAAAAAGAAAAGCAACGTTGACAATTAGCAATAAATTATATAACATAACAAAAGAAATTGTTCCTTTCATTTTAATTAAATAAATATATTGTTTATTTTAATTTATAATTTATTAACCCTTTGACTACGGCAGACTTTGGCACTCACTGGCCGTACGGTACGGTACGAATTCATTCGAGACGTCCACTGGGTACGGCGAAATTTTTCGCTAGACATGCATTTCTAAGGAAGTATATTAAAATATTCAAAATACTGAAATTTATTACATTAAACGAATATTACTTGAAGTGAACATTAATTTTAAGCTTTTTTTAAATAACAATGTTTAATAATACAATTTAATAATATAATAACGTATGATATATTTCAAAACACGGATGAGTACATAATCCTACATTACATTTTTTACATTCGTAATGTGTATCCTTTCTCTTATCATTTTTTGCACACATTACACATCTACGCCTTGCACTTTTTCGAATTGCTATATTGCTTTCATATGGAGACGGAAAATGCTTTTGCGTCAAACGAAAAGGCTCATTATTAGTATTTCTACCTCTTAATTTATATCCATTAGTTTCATCTAAGTATTTTCTTAATATTTGTTTTATTAAATTTAAATGAATCAAAATAAGTTAATCGAAATTGGTAATCTACATTACCATTAGAGGTCTACACTACCATAAGACCAATTATAAAATTTTTAAACGGGCGAAACAAGCGAAATTTGATTTGGACGCTAATAGGCGTCAATAGTACCGGGAAGCCAACATGTGTCGGACGCCAATGGGTGCCAACAGTAGTCAAAGGGTTAAATAGGAATTCACAGTCATAAAACTTATATTTTATATACATAATAAATAATGTGTAATTTATTTTATTGTATTTTTTAACTTTTTTTAATAGTCGAAATAATATAAAATTGCATAGGAATTCATAAATAATTAAATATATTTGATAAGAAAGATAATCTAGATGACGCTAAAGTTTTTACACAGGCAATTGAAAAATTGAAAACTAACCAATCAGCTTGCAGGATTTAGGCGTTAATTTTATATTAACAACACTGTTAGAAACATTGACATCGTTTAAAACAAAATAACGATCCAATCCAGCTTGAGAGGGTCGTCAATGCAGTTGTTTCACCTGTTCGTGAATATTTTTATTGCACATTATTGACAACTTATTTAGTCTTACGTAGATTTTTATTATAATACTTTTTTATTTTATAATCCCGTGTTTCAGGTTGGACTTTAAATAGGGAACGTAACGAGATGCTAATCGTTGCTTTCCAATTACACCAAAAAGCGACACTGTGTAACGCAGTGTCGAAAAAGCGCTTTCCATCAAAGACACTGTCAAACACAGATGTATTCTGCTCGACACTCGAAAAAGTCGTGTTTTGCAGTGTTTTACCCAGGATTAACAACAAAAAAGAGAAGAATTCTTTTCTCTGCTTATGATTTTTAATTATTCAGATTGGTATTAAAAAAACCACCAAAATAAACTGAAGAAACAAGTAACAATAACATTACTTAACCTCGTAATTTATTTACGCCATATTTTATTAGTATCGTTATTACATAAAAAACATTGTTATTTTACTTCTATAGTAACTTAAATTGAGATATTCCTATATAATTATTAATTATCAATTTACTATTGGTTCAGTACAGAAAATAAATTAAATTCCTTGGGAGCTTGTGTCTTTAACTGCTAATTATTATTTTATAGAAATGTTTAAATGCAAACATTGCAATATTCAAGTGAGTCCAGATAATGCCGCGAAACACGATTGTATTAATAAAGGTAATACAATATTCTTAGATGATGATAATTTCTTTACGGTTTTTTATGGTTTCCATCAATACCAAAATAACTCTATTTTCTTCCATCTACAAGAAATAACAATTATGTTATAAATTTTGTTTTATTAATTGAATTATTACTTCGATAATATTTGTGTTGACAGTAAATATATTCGTTTCGGCTACTTAATGCTTATATTTGGTTAATTGAATAATACTTACTTTGAAATTATAGTTGGTTCAAATAATTATTATTAAACAAAATTATTATTATTACAAAACAATAATTTATAGACCTGCAAACTGTCAAAGTACTAAAACTATATTATGTAAATAATATAAGATATATAAAATGAAAATTATATATATTTAATATTTTTATTACTTTTTTATGAATATGAACTTTCAGATTTGTACGGCATTAACTTTTTATAGACAATTGCATTAAATCAAAATAAACTATCTAAATGCCGTACAAAAAAATGTCATACTAAATATCCAAATGTACATTTTTTTATAGGGATTTTTCGGGAGTTTTCTTCCCCCTTCAGACCCTTGGTCCAAAAAAAATGTACCGCATGTGGAAAAATGTTATCTATGCATAAAATACTTTCAAAATAAATTAATTTTATGTTGTTTCAAATCACTTCCCCCCCCCCGGACCACTGAAAGGGGGTGGGTTGCAACCCTCGATTTTTCTCCCTTGTCGCATGATTTTTGTACGGCGTTGCGGAATAATCAGAGAAATACGTCTTTATTAACTGTACCACAGGTAATATAACCTTAATTGATAGTTATAAATTACTAATATAAAAAAATGCAATGATGCAAATGTTTTTTAATTCTACTTATGCTATAGAAATTTCTAGTCTTGTAAAAAGTGCAATTTACGATAATAAATTACAATTTACTTTTAATTGGACTTTTTAAATTTAGTTTTCCATCCTTTACTCAACTGCGACTAGGTAAGATAAAGTTTAGTCTAAGAGCTGGCTACATAAAAAAGTTTGTTATTGGTACACGATTCATTTCTATTGAAAAAGTTACCTTTGGTAAAGCTGAACATAAATCTGCATGTCTGCCATCGCAAAACCGAGGTCTAAAGCGGGGCCGTACGATTGAAAACGTGAAATTTAGGTGGGAAAAAAATCATAAGGTACACGGATTCTAATTATGGAAAAAGTTTGTATTTATATTAAGGAATCGCGAAAAAATATTGGCAGACTGTTTGCTAGGGGTTAAAGTACCGCCAGAGCGCGCCAAAGGGGTGTAAAAATTAATTTAAAAAAAATCACGAAGTACATGAACAAAAATTATTTTATTTTATTATTTAAACATTAAGAAAACAATTTACTAAATGGCAGACAAAAATTTGGTGGCTAAAGCCTTGGCAGACGGATTGAAAAAGCGCGCTATAATAGAAGATTTGTAATCGCTCTTAACGCGGTGGATATATTATATATTAATTATTAATATTTATAAAATACTGAAACGAAAATTGTACCATTTTTACAACTTTAACTTTTAGGAACTATTGGGATTTTTTATGCTTATTATTGTTGTATAAATCAAGTTTTATTTAAACAATAAATAAACATTCGATAGTATTCGGCTTCTTCGGCTTGTAAAATTGAAAGCAAATGGCTCACAAAATTTTGAAAGTAAAAGTGGGCACCTATTATAATAACACAGGTATAAGGGGACGGATTTGTATAGGTTTGCTTGGAAAACAGATGTTGGAGCAAATTGTTAATGCTACTGCTTCCAAACGATTAACAAGTATCACGCACTTTGTACGATCCGAGAGGATTGTACGGTAATTAGCAGTATTCAAAATTCGCGCGCATCCACCTCCATCGATCAAAACTCTAGATCGATACTCATGGTGAGCATCGATCAACTACTAGTAACTACCGAAGCGCCCCTCTAGTTACCCCCACCTCTCGCCTCCCCACTTCTCACTCCCAGTCCGTACGCCCTGCTGGGCCAGTACAAAAGGACATTCTTATAGTCCATTATAGGAAGCCTGTGAATACATATCGAAATCAAAGGAGTTAAGCTAAATTAGTTAAGGAACGTAAGCGAAGCGAGCGAGAGGTGAGATCTTTCCATTATATACATTTTATATTGACGGTATTTTCCCGCGTGGTAATACCACGTGGTGGACTCTCATTTTTATAATTAAACATCATCCAGGGTTTTTATGCCGCAAGGCTTTTCCCTGACGAGCCAATAAAAAAAGGCATTGTTTCTTTGTTTGGCTCAATCACGTGTTTTATTTTACACCTTAACCTAATCCTTTATTCTCCACTTCATAGCATACAATTAATGATCAGAGGAATTTTCATTGAAGAATCTTTTGGTCATAACACACTTTACAAACTCAATCTCAGCGCGACAAAGATGGGCTAAAAGTCATGGCATCCGATCGACCATAGTATCTCATACGTACGATATAACAGGATTAAAAAAAACGCAAGACATCATCGGCGATTTAAAAAAGCACCAAATTAAAAAAGACAGTACACAGCTTCAAAATTTTATAGCTGTTTTGAAACAAAACATGAATCCTTTCAATAGCGAAGATATTCAGAGTGATCAGTTTTAGATTTAATATTGCAACAGGACGAGCAGAGTCGCAAGAAGTAACTAAATTATTGAGTGTTGAGAAAACTGATCATCGCTTGAAAGAAACGTTCATTTCTGAATGTGCTGAATCTAATAGAAGGTAGATTTGAAATGACAATAAAGCAAAGTAAAATACTCCATTTTGCTGCTCCCACTGAGAAGAGATTAGTGAGGGTGAGTAATAAAGTTCAAGAGGTACGATTGCAGCGTGACTTATTCGAACGTATGCTAGCTATATTGATGAATGAAAACACTAATGTTGAAAAAATTCTATCATACCCTCTAACACCCGTTCCAATGTGTATGTGTCACTTGGATGGATCTATTTATAAAACAGATAAATCTGCTCTATTCAAATGTTTGGAAAGAGATGTTCAAAGTAAGGCTCCGACTTATATCGACATTTGTTTAATAGATGAATTTTTTTTATCCATTGTATTAAGGACTTGCTAAAGACATTTGGCAGTGTTTCGAAAAAAATATTGCAAATGGTAACTAACGACAAAGCCCATGAAATACACATAATTTTTGATAGATATTGGTCACCTTCTATCAAAGACTATGAAAGGTCACAGCGAGGAGGTTTCTCTGGTAATTGCATGTACGCAATTTCTGGGCCAGAGCAAGCAAGACCAGCCGATTTTAATAAAGAGCTGAGAAACAGTTATTTTAAAGAAGCATTAGTGAATTTTTTAATAAATCACTGGAAACAGCAAGAAATAATTCCGTTTTTAGGAAATAAATTCCGATAAATGCTGTCAATATGAAATTCAAAATGAGAGCATTTTATTTTCAATTAATGATAATTTTACGCTTGATTTGCACGAAGAAGCAGATACAAAAATTGAATGTGCAATATTGAATCAACAGCAAATATTGTAATAAAATTCTCCGATACAGACATTTTAATTATAATGTTAGCTAATATAATTAATGTTCGACAAGGTAGCAAAGTTTATATATAAACAGGAGTTTGGAATAGACAGAGAATCATTGACGTCTCAGCGTTGTATGAAACGTTAGGTGATTTATTCTGTCAATCATTGCCAGGATTTCATGCCTTAACTGGCTGCGATTTTAATCCTGCATTATTCAAGAAAGGAAAGCAACGCTCTTTACAGATACTCTGAAAAAACGAAGAGTATCATCAAGCTTTTAATCAAATAGGCTCTGAAGACTGTGACGAAAATAGTGTATTTACGGTGCTCGAGAAATTTGTTTGCAATTTATATAGTTTTAAGTCTATGAATTCTGTAAATAGTACCCTATTCGCATTATTTTTAAAAACTTATAAAGTAAACGACTTAGACGAACCATTCCAGAAAAAAATTACAGAATTTTGATGCTTCGACTGTACCGTCCAGCCAGGCTGAATTGACGCAGTATTTATTAAGAACAAAATATATTGCCACAATATGGAAAAATGCTTTTTCTGCCAAGGCTTTAGCCACCAAATTTTTGTCTGCCATTTAGTAAATTGTTTTCTTAATGTTTAAATAATAAAATAAAATAATTTTTGCTCATGTACTTCGTGATTTTTTTTAAATTAATTTTTACACCCCTTTGGCGCGCTCTGGCGGTACTTTAACCCCTAGCAAACAGTCTGCCAATATTTTTTCGCGATTCCTTAATATAAATACAAACTTTTTCCATAATTAGAATCCGTGTACCTTATGATTTTTTTCCCACCTAAATTTCACGTTTTCAATCGTACGGCCCCGCTTTAGACCTCGGTTTTGCGATGGCAGACATGCAGATTTATGTTCAGCTTTACCAAAGGTAACTTTTTCAATAGAAATGAATCGTGTACCAATAACAAGCTTTTTTATGTAGCCAGCTCTCCGTCTAGTTGAATAGATTTACATAACAAGTTGACGATCATATCTTGGAAATAATTGTAAAATAATAAAAAATGTTTTCTTATTGCTATTTTTAACGTTAATTATAAGATTTGGTTAATTTATTTTGACTAACGCGTGAGTACAATTGTTACATTCCCGCGACAATAAACTAAGTTTTAAAAACCTTGTATTAGCCACACACTAACGCGCTCTAGTGGCAAAGATCTGTTCCGTCATTTTCGTACATTTCTAGAGCATTGCGATCGACCTCCTGTTATCTAGGCTCCGTGGTTGTGAGATTGGTTATACAATATCTTGTGGGGAAGTTTAATTCCTAGAAAGTAATTAATTTTTAGGAAGATAATCCCTAAACATAGAAAACGCGAGACTTGGCAAAGAAGCCATGCGGTTTCATAAAATTTACAGTCAGAATAAAGGTGTCATGTAGATAAAACGGTTGTCCAGTAATTAATCTGCCCTCTCTTCCCCACCAGCAGATACCATAATCTCGCTTGGTATCCTGAATCATTCGTCTTCTTAAGACACATTTAAAACGTTTACATATAATTTGAATAAAATTCAATAATTAAATAAAAAAAATAAATTAATAAAACACATTTTCTTTTCACCGCCATGGATGTGAAAGAAATGCGGGAAACGTTTGAACAAAAATTGGCTAAACTCATAAGTAAAAAAAAAGATAACAGCACCTTCCTAAGCAGTGATCAGTATAAGAATCGAATAGAAGCTGTTAAAGAAGCTAAAGATATTTTGAGTAGTAATAAGGGAAAAATGAAACTTCCCATGCATTATTGGCTTTCAGAACGGTTTGACATTATTAACGATGATGGTAAAGAGAAATTGATTAAACGAATTACTGACATATCAAAACCCATCTTGTTTTTTGTACATCAAGAAGAACTGTTTGATATTTTGCATAGCACTCATTTAAATATTGGGCACGGTGGACGGAATCGCATGATTGAAGAATTACATCGCAAATATTTTAATGTTACTAGAGAAACAGTTATGATTTACCTTAGCTTGTGTAATTTTTGCCAAAATAAGAGCATCACGACAAAACGTAATTTAGTTACAGGACCTGTTTTGCATTCTACTTGTTTTTCTAGAGCACAAATTGATATCATTGACATGCAATTACACAGCTACAATGATTACCGTTTTATCATGGTGCATCAAGATTATCAAACCAAATTTGTAATTATACGTGCTTTGAAGACGAACCACGCAGAAGAAGTAGCCAGTCATCTTTTGGATATCTACACAACTTTTGGGATACCTATTATTCTCCAATCTGGTAACGGCAGAGAATTTGTAATTTCTGTAATAACAAAATTGCATGAGATGTGGGCTTCAATGAATATAGTCAATGGAAAACTTCAATGTAGTCAGTCACAAGGTTTAGTGGTAAAAGTATCCAGGGACGTTGAATCTATATTGGCTACATGGATGGTAGAAAACAACACTCGAGATTGGCCATCAGGATTGAAATTTGTACAATTTCAGAAAAACCAAGAAGTGCATTTAGGTATAGGAAAATCTCCTTTCGAAGCTATGTTCGGCTCGCAAGCAATGTATGGCCTTAATTCTGTCAGTATTCCAACTGAATCAGTTAATTATATACGTTCAGAGGAAGACTTGGTACAAACATTGACAATTGATAACTCAGAACGATCCATCCAACCGACATGGCATCGTGTTGTGGAAAATGAATAATATACCACTTGCTAAACCCTAATGACAAAATAAGGGGCTGAATTAAAGTATCTAACTTGCATTCGTTTGGAATCTATTCAAAATAATAAAAAAGTGCAGGTAAATGCTTTGAAAAGCAGACTAGGAAAATATTGAAACAAAAACAGAACAAGTTTCCTCTGTTTAAAGTGGAAGCGATGGTTCGTCTATCAATTTCTAACGTTGATAGGAGTCGTGAATTTCCCAACGACATCATAGTTATGATGAAGCGTTGACGATGACCTGTATATTCTGTGCTTTGAACATGGATAATTCAAGGATAATTACATGCGTGCAGAAATACATTTGTGGTCTGAAAAATTATTACACTTAATTGCTGTTACTGCAAAGGCGGATAACATTTGAAAAAAATCAATTTTGATTTATTTGGAGAGGTGGTATTTTTTAACGGTGTGTTAGACTAATAGTGGTATAAGATAGGAACTGTAAAAACAAATTTGTTAAATAGTGATGTCTCAAGATCACAAGGGTATAAAAAAGAAATTATAAAAAGCCAAATGTGATTTAAAGAAGAGCGTGTACAAAGCCACTGGTTAATTCCGTAATTGCTGCAATTATTTTCTTTGCTGTAATAAATGATATTTATCATTAGTTGTGATTATAAATGACTGTTTGTTGATTTTTTACTAAAAAAAAATAACATTTATTTATTTTTATCTATCATCGCTTGAACTCTGCCTATTGCTCTTACACAGTGCTGGTTTACTTCATTTTTAATAGCTTAAAAATACTTTTTTAAATAACTTCCATCCTCCCCGTGTATTCTGAATATAATTAACTCAAATATATTTTATAGAATGACCGAAACTTGTTAAAGGCATTGTGTACACATTTTTAAATTTCCTTGTCAGAGTGATTCAATTCATTTAACACTAATCTTTGGGCATTCTTTATAATGATCAAATATTTTATAAATTGACTGAAACTTGTTTCAAGCATTGTCTAGAATTCCCACGTTAAATACACCGTTCGTTAACACAGATATTTATATTTTATATATTTAAATAAAGTTAAAGAGAAATAGTGTTTATTTTAGAATATCTTAAATAGAGTAAAATTTTGAATTAATGAGGTTAGATCTACACGTCAATAATATTAGACGCAACATTAACTTACATTGATATTTATAAATAGTAATTAAAAATTAAACAATCAAATTTTACAATATATTTATTCTTTTCAATGTTATATTATTGAAAATTTGTATAGGTTACATCTACTGAGAATAATATCGTAGAATTTGTCATCTCTTTTTTTCATAGACGTTACTTACGTATAGTCTAGATTTGAATATCAGATGTCAATCAATTTACTGTTTGTAGGGACCAACGAAAAGTTCCTAGCATCTAGTGGCGTGAGCAGTGACAGCTTGCGGTAACATCTAAAACTAGTATCGATTTAGTGAGAATAAATATTATTGTGTATCATCGTTATTAACCGTACATTAGTGTTATGTGCTATCACGAAGAAGAAAAATAAAACTTGAGTGTGCATAGAAAGAAAAAAAACAAACGACACTACCTATGTAAATTTTCTAGTAAACATATATATATTTATATATACATGTATGTTGATGCATGGATATGTATTGTAGGTTAGATTTATCATAAATTCTAGACACATAACATATAACAATTTTTTAATAATAATTTTAATCAAATAATCGTTATACAGAGTGATATCGTGATTATTAGAAATTATTGTTATTAGCACTGTTATTAGTAGTTCGGTCGGAAATAACATGTTATATCATGGTACTTACTGTGCTTGTTTTGATATCATTTAACAGATAGTATAAAAAGTAATAGGTTTATTTGGTAAAATTTCAGGTGTCTTTGAATAATGAAAAGAAAATTAACAAAAAATTGTCTCTATATACGTTAAAACAATTTTGAAACCATTGAATACCTAATAAAAACTTTTTCTATCAGACTGTTAATATTAAAATAATCTCTACTGGTAACGATTAGTTAATCACTCTGTATACATATTTATTACATATTCATTAATTATTAAAATTTTCTGGTAATGTTTAAATAAATGCCATCCTCTTTTAATTTCAGATTATAATTTTCCTATTTAATGCTTTTTTTGTAACATTTTTAGAATTGCTTAAACTAAAAAAACATGGCAGAAAACTTTGAAAGAGATATTCCAACAATGTACACAAACGAAGAACCAAAAAAAGCTGGTCAGCCACTTTCTGATTTCCTTTTACAATTAGAAGATTATACGCCAACGGTATTGAAAATTTTAAACAATTTATTTTTTATATATTATTTAATCTATTTTATTATTAATTATTTATTATTCTAGGTACCTGATGCTATTAGTGAACATTATTTGCACACTGCTGGCTTTAATTCTACTGATCCTAAAATGTAAATATACAAATTTTACTAGATAAAAAAATGCCAATAATATATTGTATATTAAAAAAAAAAAGCTAATAACAATATCGTTAACCATTAATGTTAAATTACAGAGTGCGTTTAGTATCATTAGCTGCTCAAAAATTCGTATCGGAAATTGCAAATGACGCTCTTCAACATGGTAAAACACGTGGTGCTAATCAAAACACAAAAACAAAAGGAAAGGATAGACGTTATATGCTTACTATGGAAGATCTGACTCCTGCAGTTGCAGAATATGGCATTATAATTAAAAAACCACATTACTTTGTTTAACCAATTTGCATCATGACTCTACTTAAATTACTGTGTTCAGACATCAGTGTCATTCAACGGGTCAGGTTGACTCGTATCACAGTTTTGTTATTTTCGTTAACTTCTACAGTACAAGTGTTCTACAGTACATGGTTAACTTTTATAAAAAATGACTTCGGGATAGCTCACGAAGTTTATTTGACATGGTATTTTATCAAATGATCGATGCATAAGGTTGCATCGCAAACATTATTCTTACAAAAACTGTTTCTATTTAAACAATAGTATATTACTCACCTAGGGAGATAAAGTAAGAAATGTCTCAGAGTACATGTAATTGTTGTCCGAGGCGAAGCCGAGGTAACATCAAAAAAATTTTTAAACTGTATTTCTATAAGATTTTCAAATTTTGACTTTAAAATGTTGATTTCCAAAAAACACGTACTGATCGATTTTCTTGAAAATTTTTTCTAAAAAACTGTCAATTATCCCCCAACTTTTAAGCYTAGTCYCTTAATAGGCAATCGATGGGATCCATTTTTTTCCGATTTTTCAAAATTTCAAATTCCAACTTTTTGTAATAAAAAATTTCTAAAAAAATTCTATGCTCAGGATTTACCATAAATAACTTACTGACACAGTTTTCATCATAATTATTAAATTTTATTTACACTAAACGATTATTATTATTTCACATTTATTTCCTTACACGTTTAAATATTTTATAAATACGAGATTCACTGGATGATGAAAATTCTTTAAATCGCAAAGTATCTTTTCCGTCTGGAATGACACAATGATATTTCTGCGTCCCTGTGATTGTTTTTGCTTTTGTATATCGTTGATCTAATAAAAGTTTAGCCTGATCATACTTTTCATTTGAAAAAAATTCAATATTCATATTTGGTAAAGAATTTGGTTTTTCCGCCCATTCAAATAGTTCGACAGGAGTTAAAATTTGTTGGTCATACGGAAGTTGAAGACTTGATCATGCTGCCATCCTTTTGAAAGTCCCTCCAGCTCCATCACAAGGTCCTTTCCCATGTGCGGTTGCAAAGTAATGCCATTCAGCTTTAATTCCAAAGTCTTCTTCATGATAATATAATAAATAAATGTGAAATAATAATAATCGTTTAGTGTAAATAAAATTTAAAAATTATGATGAAAACTGTGTCAGTAAGTTATTTATGGTAAATCCTGAGCATAGAATTTTTTTAGAAATTTTTTATTACAAAAAGTTGGAATTTGAAATTTTAAAAAATCGGAAAAAAAGGGATCCCATCGATTGCCCATTAAGGGACTAGGCTTAAAAGTTGGGGGATAATTGACAGTTTTTTAGAAAAAATTTTCAAGAAAATCGATCAGTACGTGTTTTTTGAAAATCAACATTTTAAAGTCAAAATTTGAAAATCTTATAGAAATACAGGTAAAAAATTTTTTTTGATTTTATATCCTAAAAGTGTGTTTAAAAACAAAAATTTTCAAAAAAAAAAAAACGTCCCGATTGGCCCATTTTTCGCAAAGTTACAGACATTTGAAAAAAAGAAAAGCGATTTTTTCAAAAATTGATATCTCGAAAACGGCTGGGCAAAAAAAATTGAAAAAAATCATGGAGGTCTTTTTCAATGGGTACTATAACATAAAAAATTTTCAAAAAAATCGGACATGCAAAAGCAGAATGCTATCCGATTTGGCGTGGAATGCCCCATATATAACAAAATATTTTTCTGGCGCTACAATAAAAACCCGCTCCCCGCTTTTCTATTTAAAAAGTTTTATTTAGCTTTATACATTTTAAGCACATTTTTTACAAATTACAGCATTTTGTATTGCAAATTTTCCACTTACGTATTTTTTACATTTTATACAAATTTTGTTGTTTGTCTTATTGACTTTACAATATCTTATTTGATAAGATTTCCGTCCAGAAGAATCTGTAGCTGTGTTTATTATTGTTTTTGATGAACATTCTTTGCTTAGCTTTCTCTCCTTCTGATATTCGGTCCCAAGCTCTTCTGCCAATTGAAATAAAAATTCTTGCCTCGATATTTCTTCTATATCACACGTCGTTTCTTTATATAAAATCCAAGCATTTATTCCGGCTAAATCTAAGATATTGAAAAATACCTGTAAAGGCCATCTTTGACATTTAGATTTTACACTATATTTTCTGGCCATTTGATCGGTTACATCTATACCGAATTTTGTGCTATTGTAAAATCTAATTGTCTCTGGTATATGGGTGTCACTTTTTTCAATTTCAACGGATTAATGCATTGAACTAAGTATCAATACTTCTTTATTGGGTTAGGTTTATAAATTGAAAGAATAAAATCATTCGATTTGTATAATATTGTTGAGAAGTGTGTCATGTTATCCTTTGCCTATCTCGCTAGTTTTGGTAGTTCTCTTTTATTTCTGCGGATAGTTCCAACAAGCGTAGTTTTTTTTTGCAAGAAGTTTACTCGCTAATGAGGCGCTTGTAGAAAAATTGTCAGTTGTTATATTTCTCCCGTTGCCCGTATACAGTTCTGCTAATTTCAAAGTTACAAACTTCCCAAGTGGGACCGATGATTCTCTCCCTTCATCTTTCCTCAAATATGGAAAGCCGTTTACTATATACTTACTACTTACATCGGAAGAGCTAACCAGAATTTTATGCCAAATTTGTTCGGTTTGTTGGGCATGTATTGAGTAAATCTACAAGCAAGATATGCTCCTGGTTTATAACAGTTTTGACTGTTTTCGATAAATTTGTATCAAACTTCAGAAATCAAAGCGAATTTATTGTTTTGTAAGCGTTGGCTTCGTTGATATTTGTTATCAAACCGAATAAATCTCATGATTTCTGTGGAGTCATTCAGATTCTTAGTTGTCGAGAAAAATGACAGACCCCATTTCTTGTTCCATAATTGTCTACACTGTATATCCACAATTACATTGTACACTCGTAAAACAATTTCAGGTGTGCGTTTTCCGAAAAATATAGTCGTATATATTATGAATTGTTTAAGTGGTCAAATGACCGCTCGTGGTAGACTAGACATGGTATACATTTTTTTTCGGAAAGTAAACAATAAAGAAAGTTATGAATATTGAAAAATGGGTTGTATGTATATTATATGAAATGTCAATAAGCTACATGGTGATACAGTAAAGTTGTATATGAGAAATTCTAAACGAAATTTCAAAAACTCTCATTTGACCGCGTATTGTAGGTATAGTGATAATACAGCCTTAGAACTAAGTAAAGTATTGTAGTAATATTTAATTTATATGAATTTATTGACATCGAGAAGAACATATATTTGCAAGAAAATAAAAATTCATTTTTTATAATTTTCTAAAGTGTGATAAATTTTAAAGTAATTTCCAATATGTATTGTAGGCTGATTTGTGCACATTTTACAATAGTAAGTTGTTCGATGTCTTCTCTACCTAGTGTTTTAAATAGAACAAGTAATATAATTTCGTTATCATTCTCCTACATTGGAAATATGTTGTTTATTATTTAGTCTATTGTCTGACAAAGAAGTGGATGGATATGTTTTAAATTTTGGAGAGAAAATCACCTCTCGACTGATTTATAAGTTTTTTGACAAATTTTTAATGTGTCACTTTTTTGTTTTTGTGTTTGTTTTTTCCTTTCTTTTGAGGTTCGGTAAATTATGTAAGAATAATAATAACACATTTTCAATTCTCAAAAAAAAAAAATGTTTCTCCATTTCAATAATTCCTGCATAAAACAATACGTCGAATTGATCCGCATGATCCAAACCATCCATATGCATAATATTATGTAATCTAATTGTAAGTTTATAATGGTCATGAATCTCTTCGAAAAACATTCAATGATATTCTTGATATTAATATAGCCATCACGTTTGAAATTCCATCCTGCTTGCAAGAATTTTGGAAGATGATAGTTTCTAGAGCTATGTTACCCTTTCTTCGAAGTCATACCAGTGCCCTTTGGTGGGGAAAGACTTATAAGTAGCGGGTGAAGACTATTACAATTAGTTGATCCAAGTTCAGTAATTTCAGTAAGTTAATCCGTACTCAGATTTTTTATGCGGATTCAGATTCTGTCAGTTGATTCAATTGTTATAAGCAAATTCAGCTAGTTAGTAAGAATCAGAGGTTATTATTCGTAAAGAAGAGAGTAGAGCAAATAAGTGGAATAAGGGCTAAGCACTATGCTGATTCTCTGTATAACGATTATTTAAATATGTCTTTAATTAGTTACAATTGAAACGTGTTTTTTTCTGGATCAACTCTTTCCACTATTACAACGTGGAAGTCGAAAGGGATTCTTAAAATTCCCTTTCCTAATAGAGTGAGAAAGCACGTACACGAGTGCACAATATGGAAATGAGAATTAGCCTACGACTGTACAGTACTACCACATAGCCTGCAAAAAGAAATATTTCTATTACTTCACATCTATTCATCTTAAATAATTAAATTCATTATAAATATGAAGGGTTGAAATTATTTTGTTGCTTTTTAATACGTCCACTAATTATATATTATTTACGGTTGAGACTCCCAATATCTATAACTTAAAAAATAACTTAAGGGGGTCATCCCATGTGACGGCCTGTTTTTTAGGATTTTTTTTCTACGACCAGTAAATAGATAGAGCTTTAAGTTTATTATCATTTATTAACATATATTTCGACAGTATAAATATAAATTTTAAGCTAAAAATATTGTGTAGAACTTGAGTTACAGCGTTCTGAACACC